CCCCAGCCAACAGTTAGTTACATTACATCCAAACATTACGTAACTCTATCGTAACTGAGCCCTCTCTGTCCCCTACCAGCAGTTACTTACATCACATCCAAACATTACGTAACTCCATCGTAACTCAGCCCTCTCTGTCCCCTACCAACAGTTACTTACATCACATCCAAACATTACGTAACTCCATCCTAACTGAGCCCTATCTGTCCCAAGCCAACAGTTAGTTACATTACATCCAAACATTACGTAACGCCATCCTAACTGAGCCCTCTCTGTCCCCAGCCAACAGTTAGTTACATTACATCCAAACATTACGTAACGCCATCCTAACTGAGCCCTCTCTGTCCCCAGCCAACAGTTAGTTACATTACATCCAAACATTACGTAACGCCATCCTAACTGAGCCCTATCTGTCCCAAGCCAACAGTTAGTTACATCACATGCAAACATTACGTAACGCCATCCTAACTGAGCCCTATCTGTCCCCAGCCAACAGTTAGTTACATCACATCCAAACATTACGTAACTCCATCCTAACTGAGCCCTATCTGTCCCAAGCCAACAGTTAGTTACATCACATGCAAACATTACGTAACGCCATCCTAACTGAGCCCTATCTGTCCCCAGCCAACAGTTAGTTACATCACATCCAAACATTACGTAACGCCATCCTAACTGAGCCCTATCTGTCCCAAGCCAACAGTTAGTTACATCACATGCAAACATTACGTAACGCCATCCTAACTGAGCCCTATCTGTCCCCAGCCAACAGTTAGTTACATTACATCCAAACATTACGTAACTCCATCCTAACTGAGCCCTATCTGTCCCAAGCCAACAGTTAGTTACATCACATGCAAACATTACGTAACGCCATCCTAACTGAGCCCTATCTGTCCCCAGCCAACAGTTAGTTACATCACATCCAAACATTACGTAACTCTATCGTAACTGAGCCCTCTCTGTCCCCAGCCAACAGTTAGTTACATGACATCCAAACATTACGTAACTCTATCCTAACTGAGCCCTATCTGTCCCCAGCCAACAGTTAGTTACATTACATCCAAACATTACGTAACTCTATCCTAACTGAGCCCTATCTGTCCCCAGCCAACAGTTAGTTACATTACATCCAAACATTACGTAACTCTATCTAACTGAGCCCTATCTGTCCCCAGCCAACAGTTAGTTACATTACATCCAAACATTACGTAACGCCATCCTAACTGAGCCCTCTCTGTCCCCAGCCAACAGTTAGTTACATCACATCCAAACATTACGTAACTCTATCCTAACTGAGCCCTCTCTGTCCCCAGCCAACAGTTAGTTACATTACATCCAAACATTACGTAACGCCATCCTGACTGAGCCCTATCTGTCCCAAGCCAACAGTTAGTTACATCACATGCAAACATTACGTAACGCCATCCTAACTGAGCCCTATCTGTCCCCAGCCAACAGTTAGTTACATCACATCCAAACATTACGTAACTCCATCCTAACTGAGCCCTATCTGTCCCCAGCCAACAGTTAGTTACATCACATGCAAACATTACGTAACGCCATCCTAACTGAGCCCTATCTGTCCCCAGCCAACAGTTAGTTACATCACATCCAAACATTACGTAACGCCATCCTAACTGAGCCCTATCTGTCCCAAGCCAACAGTTAGTTACATCACATGCAAACATTACGTAACGCCATCCTAACTGAGCCCTATCTGTCCCCAGCCAACAGTTAGTTACATTACATCCAAACATTACGTAACTCCATCCTAACTGAGCCCTATCTGTCCCAAGCCAACAGTTAGTTACATCACATGCAAACATTACGTAACGCCATCCTAACTGAGCCCTATCTGTCCCCAGCCAACAGTTAGTTACATCACATCCAAACATTACGTAACTCTATCGTAACTGAGCCCTCTCTGTCCCCAGCCAACAGTTAGTTACATGACATCCAAACATTACGTAACTCTATCCTAACTGAGCCCTATCTGTCCCCAGCCAACAGTTAGTTACATTACATCCAAACATTACGTAACTCTATCCTAACTGAGCCCTATCTGTCCCCAGCCAACAGTTAGTTACATCACATCCAAACATTACGTAACTCTATCTAACTGAGCCCTATCTGTCCCCAGCCAACAGTTAGTTACATTACATCCAAACATTACGTAACGCCATCCTAACTGAGCCCTCTCTGTCCCCAGCCAACAGTTAGTTACATCACATCCAAACATTACGTAACTCTATCCTAACTGAGCCCTCTCTGTCCCCAGCCAACAGTTAGTTACATTACATCCAAACATTACGTAACGCCATCCTGACTGAGCCCTATCTGTCCCAAGCCAACAGTTAGTTACATTACATCCAAACATTACGTAACTCCATCGTAACTCAGCCCTCTCTGTCCCCTACCAACAGTTACTTACATCACATCCAAACATTACGTAACGCCATCCTAACTGAGCCCTATCTGTCCCAAGCCAACAGTTAGTTACATTACATCCAAACATTACGTAACTCCATCCTAACTGAGCCCTATCTGTCCCCTACCAACAGTTACTTACATCACATGCAAACATTACGTAACGCCATCCTAACTGAGCCCTATCTGTCCCCAGCCAACAGTTAGTTACATCACATCCAAACATTACGTAACTCTATCGTAACTGAGCCCTCTCTGTCCCCAGCCAACAGTTAGTTACATTACATCCAAACATTACGTAACTCTATCCTAACTGAGCCCTATCTGTCCCCAGCCAACAGTTAGTTACATTACATCCAAACATTACGTAACTCTATCCTAACTGAGCCCTCTCTGTCCCCAGCCAACAGTTAGTTACATTACATCCAAACATTACGTAACGCCATCCTAACTGAGCCCTATCTGTCCCCAGCCAACAGTTAGTTACATCACATCGAAACATTACGTAACTCTATCCTAACTGAGCCCTCTCTGTCCCCAGCCAACAGTTAGTTACATTACATCCAAACATTACGTAACGCCATCCTAACTGAGCCCTCTCTGTCCCCAGCCAACAGTTAGTTACATTACATCCAAACATTACGTAACTCTATCGTAACTGAGCCCTCTCTGTCCCCAGCCAACAGTTAGTTACATTACATCCAAACATTACGTAACGCCATCCTAACTGAGCCCTATCTGTCCCCAGCCAACAGTTAGTTACATTAAATCCAAACATTACGTAACGCCATCCTAACTGAGCCCTAACTGTCCCCAGCCAACAGTTAGTTACATCACATCCAAACATTACGTAACGCCATCCTAACTGAGCCCTATCTGTCCCCAGCCAACAGTTAGTTACATCACATCCAAACATTACGTAACGCCATCCTAACTGAGCCCTCTCTGTCCCCAGCCAACAGTTAGTTACATTACATCCAAACATTACGTAACGCCATCCTAACTGAGCCCTATCTGTCCCCAGCCAACAGTTAGTTACATTACATCCAAACATTACGTAACGCCATCCTAACTGAGCCCTATCTGTCCCCAGCCAACAGTTAGTTACATCACATCCAAACATTACGTAACGCCATCCTAACTGAGCCCTATCTGTCCCCAGCCAACAGTTAGTTACATCACATCCAAACATTACGTAACTCTATCCTAACTGAGCCCTATCTGTCCCAAGCCAACAGTTAGTTACATTACATCCAAACATTACGTAACGCCATCCTAACTGAGCCCTATCTGTCCCCAGCCAACAGTTAGTTACATCACATCCAAACATTACGTAACGCCATCCTAACTGAGCCCTATCTGTCCCCAGCCAACAGTTAGTTACATTACATCCAAACATTACGTAACGCCATCCTAACTGAGCCCTATCTGTCCCCAGCCAACAGTTAGTTACATTACATCCAAACATTACGTAACTCTATCGTAACTGAGCCCTCTCTGTCCCCAGCCAACAGTTAGTTACATTACATCCAAACATTACGTAACGCCATCCTAACTGAGCCCTATCTGTCCCCAGCCAACAGTTAGTTACATTACATCCAAACATTACGTAACGCCATCCTAACTGAGCCCTATCTGTCCCCAGCCAACAGTTAGTTACATCACATCCAAACATTACGTAACGCCATCCTAACTGAGCCCTATCTGTCCCCAGCCAACAGTTAGTTACATCACATCCAAACATTACGTAACTCTATCGTAACTGAGCCCTCTCTGTCCCCTACCAACAGTTACTTACATCACATCCAAACATTACGTAACTCTATCGTAACTGAGCCCTATCTGTCCCCAGCCAACAGTTACTTACATCACATCCAAACATTACGTAACTCTATCCTAACTGAGCCCTCTCTGTCGCCTACCAACAGTTAGTTACATCACATCCAAACATTACGTAACTCCATCCTAACTGAGCACTGACTGCAGTTAGATGGGCCCATCCCCTTCAGCCTGGGGTCTTCTTTCAAGTTGTTTTGCCAGTGCACTATGCCTTCACTTTACTTTGATGAAATCCTCTCAAAGCTAATTGCTTAAAAATGCAATTTAGGTTTGAAACAATAAGACAAAAACAGTGGTATGTGTTATTTTTGTTGGTTATCTGCCGCAGCAATTACAGCTGATTGATGTACGAGCAGCGCGGCAGAGTGAGGGCTGCCCTCCGGCGACAGTCATGCTCCATCTTAATCATATGATGACGGTCCACTTTGTACATATCTCATCATCGATATAGTTGTCACACAGATCATAAAACATGATGGAAGCCTCTAAAACAATCCCTCTCTATGATTAGTTTGACAAGTTTAACTCAGGGGTGGACCCTCGTGCCTTCACCCTCCCCCCCCCACCCCCCCTTCTAGATTGGGGGTGACGTTGGTGCAGTGTCCTGGGTGATGTCTGTTCAATGCCCTCAGCACAGGCACCAGGAGTAAAATCAATAAGTCAAAATCCTACTGGGAATAAATTGATCATGCTGGATTGAATTTAACAGCTTTTGAAAGCAGACTGTTGTTTTACATTACATACACTGGTGGGGGGGCAGACAAGGACGTGTGGGGGCAGGGGGCAGGCGAGGACGTGGGGCGGCAGGCGAGGACGTGGGGTGGCAGGCAAGGACGTGGGGTGGCAGGCAAGGACGTGGGGCGGCAGGTGAGGACGTGTGGGGGCAGGGGGCAGGCAAGGACGTGGGGCGGCAGGCGAGGACGTGGGGTGGCAGGCAAGGACGTGGGGCGCCAGGCGAGGACGTGGGGTGGCAGGCAAGGACGTGGGGCGGCAGGCGAGGACGTGGGGTGGCAGGCGAGGACGTGGGGTGGCAGGCGAGGACGTGGGGCGGCAGGCGAGGACGTGTGGGGGCAGGGGGCAGGCAAGGACGTGGGGCGGCAGGCGAGGACATGGGGAGGGCAGATTAGGGAAACATGTGGTGTCGAGACCTTCATGTCGGCAGTAAATGGCCGGCTGGGACGAAACGACAGATAAAAATAAGACAACGACACCTTTATTTCATTTGGTGTGTATATCATGTAGTTACAGCCCCCATTGGGCAGAGGTGGGAGTCAAGCTGAAGACTGACCAAGGTGACAGTTAGTGTGATGAATGGCTCCCACGCTACAGCCACACGTCTCCCGATCAACATCAACCATCACATGTTCCACTTTACATTGCTGAGATGATGGGGGATTTCCTGGTGTCTGAACCTGGAGCACCAGGGGCCTGATTCCATGTTCAGACCAGATGGTCGTGTCTGAACCACTGTCAGTCTTGATGCTCAATACATATTTGAAGGTATTCTCACTTTTTGTCTGAATTTATGATCAAACCGATTTCCATCAAGCCTTCTTATGATATAATGTAAAAATAATTCCCTCTGGCAGCTCAATGAAATTCATAAAACTAAAATTCACATCAATCATTTTCACTCTTAACCCAGATCCTTTGATGCCTGCATGGCGGAGTGGAGTTGTTCTGCACATAACTGCCAGCGAAAAGTATACAGTGGTACATCACAGGGATGGTACATGGTACACTGTGGTACATCATAGAGCTGGTACACGGTACACTGTGGTATATCACAGAGCTGGTTCCATGGTACACTGTGGTACATCATAGAGCTGGCAACCAGTACAATGTGGTATATCACAGAGCTGGTACACGGTACACTGTGGTACATCATAGAGCTGGTACATGGTACACTGTGGTATATCACAGAGCTGGTACATGGTACACGGTGGTAAATCACAGGGATGGTACATGGTACACTGTGGTACATCACAGCGCTGGTACATGGTACACGGTGGTACATCACAGGGATGGTACATGGTACACTGTGGTACATCACAGCGCTGGTACATGGTACACTGTGGTACATCACATAGCTGGTATATGGTACACTTTGGTACATCACATAGCTGGTACATGGTACACTGTGTTACATCACAGAGCTGGTACATGGTAGACTGTGGTACATCACAGCTGGTATATGGTACACGGTGGTACATCACAGTGCTGGTACATGGTACAAAGTGGTACATCACAGCGCTGGTACATGATACACTATGGTACATCACATAGCTGGTACATGGTACACAGTGGTACATCACAGAGCTGGTACATGGAACACGGTGGTAAATCACATAGCTGGTACATGGTACACTGCGGTACATCAAAGTGCTGGTACATGATACACTATGGTACATCACATAGCAGGTACATGGTACAAAGTGGTACATCACAGAGCTGGTACATGGTACACGGTGGTAAATCACAGGGATGGTACACTGGTACATCAAAGGGATGGTACATGGTACACTGTGGTACATCACAGTGCTGGTACATGGTACACTGTGGTACATCACAGAGCTGGTACATGGTACACTGTGGTACATCACAGAGCTGGTATATGGTACACTGTGGTACATCACATAGCTGGTACATGGTACAAAGTGGTACATCACAGAGCTGGTATATGGTACAATGTGGTACATCACAGAGCTGGTACATGGTACATCACAGCTGGTACATGGTACATTATGGTACATCACAGAGCTGGTACATGGTACACTGTGGTACATCACAGCTGGTACATGGTACACTGTGGTACATCACAGAGCTGGCACCTGGTACACTATGGTACATCACAGAGCTGGTACATGGTACACTGTGGTACATCACAGCTGGTACATGGTAGAGAACAGCTGGTACATGGTACACTGTGGTACATCACAGAGCTGGTACATGGTACACTGTGGTACATCACAGTGCTGGTACATGGTACACTGTGGTACATCACAGAGCTGGTACATGGTACACTGTGGTACATCACAGAGCTGGTACATGGTACACTGTGGTACATCACAGCTGGTACATGGTACATAAGAGCTGGCAGCCGGTACACTATGGTACATTACAGAGCTGGTACATGGTACACTGTGGTACATCACAGCTGGTACATGGTACATAACAGCTGGTACATGGAACACTGTGGTACATCACAGAGCTGGTACATGGTACACTGTGGTACATCACAGCTGGTACATGGTACACTGTGGTACATCACAGAGCTGGTACATGGTTCACTGTGGTACATCACAGAGCTGGTACATGGTACACTGTGGTACATCACAGTGCTGGTACATGGTACACCGTGGTACATCACAGCTGGTACATGGTACACTGTGGTACATCACAGAGCTGGTACATGGTACACTGTGGTACATCTAAGGGTGGTACACAGAACACTGTGGTACATCACAGAGCTGGTACATGGTACACTGTGGTACATCACAGTGCTGGTACATGGTACACAGTGGTACATCACAGAGCTGGTACATGGTAATATGTGGTACATCACAGAGCTGGTACATGGTACACTGTGGTACATCACAGCTGGTACATGGTACATACAGCTGGTACATGGCACACTGTGGTACATCACAGAGCTGGTACATGGTACACTGTGGTACATCACATAGCTGGTACATGGTACATTGTGGTACATCGGAGTTGGTACATGGTACACTGTGGTGCATCACAAAGCTGGTATATGGTACACTGTGGTACATCAGAGATGATACATGGTACATCACAGGTGGTACATGGTAAATAACAGCTGGTACATGGTACACTGTGGTACATCACAGAGCTGCTACACGGTACACTGTGGTACATCACAGAGTTAGTACATGGTACACTGTGGTACATAGGTCTTCAGCAACCCAATGCTTGTCGTAAGAGGATCGGGTGGTCAGGCTCACCGACTTGGTTGATACATGTCATCCTATCACGATTGTGTGGAACGATGCTCATGATGTCAAGCACTGGATTGTCTAGTCTAGACTCGATTATTTACAGACTGCCGCCATAAAGTTGGAATATTGCTGAGTGTGCTGTTAAACAAACAAACAAACAAAACATTACAGAGCTGGTACATGGTACATTGTGGTACATCAGTTAACCAACTCACTCACACTCAGAAAGAGGGGGTACTGACCTGATAAACATATAAACCAGTGAAATGATCAGCTCGATCGTGTGTGGATTCTGGCCTCTGTGTGCATGTCACCCAAAAAGATGGCAGCTGGTAGTCTATTTCTAGTACAACTTGACTTGACAAACACCTGTCAATCACTAGATACTGTATCTGCACGTGGCACGTGCTTTTAATTGACCTTTCACCTGTGTTGACAAGACCTCTACGCGAGCGGTCACGGGCCACATGTTGAATGCCTTTCACTTGTTCCGTGAAACCTCCGAGGCACAATAACACGGAATAAGCATGGAGAAATTAAGCGTAACCAAGTGTTCACGCTGATCAAACAAGCTAATAATTGACTGACGTGACAATGAGGCTGAAGCATAAACAGCAGCGTGTAGGTGATCGCTTGTCGGAGCCAAACTCTCGCGCGGGTTGCGTACTTCAACTTGTGACTAGCGGTAATGAGTTTTCGCACTGTTGTAACGCTATTGACGTGAACAACACAACCCCCCGACACACCCACGACAGTGTTGAGAGTGAATTGTCTGTACACACACTGCACAGATACACAACGCTAGATACTTACATGCAACTATGTAACATTTCCCCTCCAGTGAACGCTGTCATGTTGGGTGCTGGTATTACATGTGAGCGAGTTTTCAGAGTAAATGTGCATGCTACACGAAATGGTCTCGACGACATTAGGTGGTATGCTACAACATTAGCTGGTATGCTACAACATTAGGCGGTATATCTACTCTCACTGATAAACTACCCCAGTGTCAACATGGGCAAGCGACCCATGCTCTGAATACCAGTGCAGACACCCCTACATACCTCGAACCCTTATTGTTTCGGCGCTGGCTCCTGAACGCTGATATACAGCTGTCACCGTCCCTCACAGTACCATTCCAATGCCGCAGTCCCCCATTTCTGTCACTGTCAGTCAATAAAGCACCCTTGTCACTCGCAGGGCCCTAAAACTACCAGCCCTTGCGTTTGGACAGCGGCTGTTCCATGAAGCACGTTGACCCCCCAGTCGTGTCATGTCATAACTTGTTACGAAGTTGATAAAGACTGAGAAAACTCAAGCCGATACAAAGAAGTTTCGGATTTTCACCACAAAACACAACTTGTACACACGGAACGAATATAGGTATCAAACAACACTAATTCGATCGGATAGAATCCGCACGTGTTGCAGATAGCGTCTTATTGCGGAGGGCGTGGGTCTTTCAAGGATAAGGGCTTGTGACAGTCACAGACGCTCTATACCTGGGCTGTACCTGTGATTCGCGCTGTGTCGACACGCGGAATGCTGCTATTTACCTGGAAAGTATGCAACAACACCTGCAGAGAAATAACAAAATGAGGAGAGAATTATTTGACAGTTTCTTTTTCTGGATGTTAACGTTGTCGTGGGTCCTTCACGTGGATGGTCAAGCACCCTTATCGGCAGCGACAGCGGAGTCGGGGAGTCCCGCAGACCCTACCGCGGCCTCACCCCCAGACGTCGTGACCCAGGTGCTGCGGGTACCCCACCTCAACAAGTCAGTCACGCTGGATATTGTACAGAGCTCTAAGGTAAGGCTGTCTCGCTTCTTTATCTGAGGAATATGTTAACATGTGGTTCAATGAATGGCCAGGGGTAGGGAGACAGCCGAGGGGGTGGGCGGCAGGGTAGGGCGGCAGGGTGGGGCGGCAGGGTAGGGCGGCTGGTACCTAGTCAACGGGAGGAATGTTTATATGCGGTTCAGTGTATGGGGTACGCTCACCGGTAGGCTGTGACCTAGGGTAGGGTTGCGGTGTCGGCCGTGGGGGTGGGGCATGGTCGCAGTGTCGGCCAGGGGGAGGGGCACCTGTTACCTACTCTATTGGAGGGATGTCATCAGTGGCACAGGGTCCCCTCCATGTGGTTGGGGGGGGAGGGGTTGAGGGGCTAGGGCACCTGTAATGTTTACTTGTGGGGTATGTTTGGGACTGGGTCAAGTCTGTAGGGGGCACTTGTATGCCTTATGCTGTCTCCTGAGGTGGCAGCTATGGACTGGGGGGGGAGATACTACGTGTCCCATATTAGGTTCAGATACACATGTGTGTAGTGGTCCCAGACTTGACATCCCCACTGACGGGGCAAAGGTGGTCCAGTGGTCAAGGTAATGCGATGTGCCATGAGGAATTGCCTCCCTTGGATGTGCCAAATACTGGGATTGGGGTTTGTTTGAATCCAAGATTAATTCTCCTTTTGTTTGAAGGTTTGTTGGCACCATCTCCCCCCTCAGGGGTTTCCCCACCCTCAGGGGTTTCCCCACCCTCAGGGGTTTCCCCACCACTCCTCCCACCATCTTCCTGAGTCAAGGGAGTTAATTGACTATACAAGTCCAGTTTCCACCCTTGCTGAACTACACTGGATTTCCAGGCTTGCTCATAGCACCATCAGTGGCTATAATGAGTTTTGTCGCTTCTATATCCCTCCTTTTGACCAATCAGATTCCATCTCTCATATCACTTGCATTTGCTTCAAACAAAATGGCGGTGTCCAGTCAAGACAATCTGATCGATAATTAAGATCTATTTTGTAATCAGATCACTTGAGCACCTTGATTAAGAACATGAAAAGATGTGCAAAATATCTATCAACGCCCAGTTGGCGGTACACATGTTTTGCAATTCGACCCAAATCTGCAAGTTGAAATCCATGTTATTTACGAACCAGATATCTAGTTTTTGATTGGACGAAGCCTAGACTCATGAGTCCCTCCAAAATGTTACTCCAGAATTTCAGGCAAGTTCGGCAATGGTCGAACCTGGACATCTACAGTCAGTTAACTCCCTTGCCTCAGGAAGATGTCCTCCCACCTGAAGCCTGACACATTGTAATATAACTGAAATACTGTTTAAAGTGGCATTGAACTCCCTCACTCACACTAGACTCCCTCACTCACACTAGACTCCCTCACTCGCACTAGACTCCCTCACTCACACTAGACTCCCTTACTCGCACTAGACTCCCTCACTCGCACTAGACTCCCTCACTCACACTAGACTCCCTCACTCACACTAGACTCCCTCACTCACACTACACCAAGTTACAGGGTAGGGGTTCTAGTTTAACCAGGAGGAGAAACGAACCCATGTGTGTGGCACAACAAATGAACACATGTCCCATTGGGCTACCGTGGTACTTTGATTAGTTCTGGTTCCACACAAGCCTCCCAGTGGAATATGCTGACAGTGCAGTTTCCTGCTGCATAACTCACTGTCATCTTGTGAAAAAAACAGAGATATATTATCACAGAATTGTTTTAAATAATATGAATAAAAAGAAGTTGTTAAAAAACAATGTTGCTGTTAAGAAGTTTCATCAAATGGTACATATATTGAAAAATATGAATACTTGTCAATATTATCGGTTGTGGACATATTGAATTGCTGAATGTCAACAAAATATGGACGTCAATGTTTGATTGTAGATGAACTCTCTCCCAGTTATATGTCAGTCATGACCCACTTTGTTATAGAATTATTCAGAGTGTCTCTCTGGAATGTTTTATGAAAACTGAAAAAACCTATGAATAATCTGCAATGCAAACTAGTTGACGCAGTTAGAGTACTTCTCAGTTTCCGTGACAACTGACCCAAGCTTATATTGCCTTGTGAAACCTGCTTCTGCCATGTCTGCCCAAGAGAAAACACTAGATCATGGAGCTTAAAGGCTAAACCATCTGGTGGTCCCTAGAGGATGAACACCAGAAAACAAATCTGTTGTATTTTATATTTTCCTTGCTAATGTTCATTTCTTGCCCACAATGAAGTGAGACACTCGACACCACCGCTGTGTCAACTTGTGGAACTCTTCCGTCCTCAGCTCCTGGCTGTGTTAACTTGTGGAACTCTTCCGTCCTCAGCTCCTGGCTGTGTCAACTTGTGGAACTCTTCCGTCCTCAGCTCATGGCTGTGTCATCTCGTTGAACTCTCCCGTCCTCAGCTCATGGCGGCTAGAACTGGTTGCTTTAAAGGTGCTTGTGATAAAACCCTGACTGGTATTGTAGATCCACCCTGACTGGTATTGTAGACCCACCCTGACTGGTATTGTAAACCCACCCTGACTGGTATTGTAGATCCACCCTGACTGGTATTGTGGACCCACCCTGACTGGTATTGTAGACCCACCCTGACTGGTATTGTAGATCTACCCTGACTGGTATTGTAGATCCACTCTGACTGGTATTGTAGATCCACCCTGACTGGTATTGTAGACCCACCCTGACTGGTATTGTAGATCTACCCTGACTGGTATTGTAGATCCACCCTGACTGGTATTGTAGACCCACCCTGACTGGTATTGTAGATCCACCCTGACTGGTATTGTAGACCCACTCTGACTGGTATTGTAGATCCACTCTGACTGGTATTGTAGACCCACCCTGACTGGTATTGTAGATCTACCCTGACTGGTATTGTAGACCTACCCTGACTGGTATTGTAGATCTACCCTGACTGGTATTGTAGATCCACCCTGACTGGCATTGTAGATCTACCCTGACTGGTATTGTAGATCCACCCTGACTGGTATTGTAGATCTACCCTGACTGGTATTGTAGATCTACCCTGACTGGTATTGTAGATCCACCCTGACTGGTATTGTAGACCCACCCTGACTGGTATTGTAGATCCACCCTGACTGGTATTGTAGATCCACCCTGACTGGTATTGTAGACCCACTCTGACTGGTATTGTAGACCCACCCTGACTGGTATTGTAGATCTACCCTGACTGGTATTGTAGATCCACCCTGACTGGCATTGTAGATCTACCCTGACTGGTATTGTAGATCCACTCTGACTGGTATTGTAGATCCACCCTGACTGGTATTGTAGATCCACCCTGACTGGTATTGTAGACCTACCCTGACAGGTATTGTAGATCCACCCTGACTGGTATTGTAGACCTACCCTGACAGGTATTGTAGACCCACCCTGACTGGTATTGTAGATCTACCCTGAATTGTATCTTAGATCCATCCTGAATTATATTGGAGATCCACCTTGAATTGTCTTGTAGACCGACCTTGAATTGTATTGTCGACGCACCCTGAATGGTTGAGCCACCCTGAGTTGTATTGTGGACATTTACTAATTGTATTCTAGATTCACCCGGAATTAAATGGTAGAGAAATGTACTGTAGATCCAACCTGAAGACATACTTTCTAGATATTGACGACCAATCCGTGTGATTGGGAAACAAGCTGACGGAATGCGAGGACTGCAGTGTCTGTGGTGACGGAATGTGAAGACTGCAGTGTCTGTGGTGACGGAATGTGAGGACTGCAGTGTCTGTGGTGACGGAATGTGAGGACTGCAGTGTCTGTGGTGACGGAATGTGAGGACTGCAGTGTCTGTGGTGACGGAATGTGAGGACTGCAGTGTCTGTGGTGACGGAATGTGAGGACTGCAGTGTCTGTGGTGAAGGAATGTGAGGACTGCAGTGTCTGTGGTGACAGAATGTGAGGACTGCAGTGTCTGTGGTGACGGAATGTGAGGACTGCAGTGTCTGTGGTGACGGAATGTGAGGACTGCAGTGTCTGTGGTGACGGAATGTGAGGAGTGCAGTGTCTGTGGTGACGGAATGTGAGGACTGCAGTGTCTGTGGTGACGGAATGTGAGGACTGCAGTGTCTGTGGTGACGGAATGTGAGGACTGCAGTGTCTGTGGTGACAGATGTGAGGACTGCAGTGTCTGTGGTGACGGAATGTGAGGACTGCAGTGTCTGTGGTGACGGAATGTGAGGACTGCAGTGTCTGTGGTGACGGAATGTGAGGACTGCAGTGTCCGTGGTGACGGAATGTGAGGACTGCAGTGTCTGTGGTGACGGAATGTGAGGACTGCAGTGTCTGTGGTGACGGAATGTGAGGACTGCCGTGTCTGTGGTGACGGAATGTGAGGACTGCAGTGTCTGTGGTGACGGACAGTCGGTGGTGTAGAAGTCCCCGTCTGTGAAGCTGTCAAGACCACTTTGCTGAGTGGATCGGTGTTGTGGGTTTGAAAAGTAAATCTTTCTAGCTGAAACCTTCAGGTCTCTACAGAGATCATTGTTCTTAATGCAATGTGTGTGTTACAAGCAGGATATACTATTGTGTGGCTTGAAGACATCAGCTGAATGAATTGGGATCATTTACTTTAAGCTGTGAACACACAGAGTTGTAACACATCAATGACTGTGTGCAGTCCGAGCAGGCGAGTTATGGTGACAGTATCGCTGTCATGTCTAATCTCTACTTGAGTTGGCTTAGGAGGGTTCGCCGTGTCAATTACTGGAGTGGAGGACAGCAGGCACTCGTCCATGTGATCTGCGGTCCATGTGATCCGATGTTAATGTTAGGAGTCAGTGTCCCGAGTTCACGCCCTGCCAATATGAAGTTCTCATCACCGCCAGGTCTGTGGATCCTGTGATCATGTCTGAATATTCATTCCCACTACCAGCAGTGTGATTACCGTGGCAGGAGTTGCATGTTGTAGCAGGAGGGGTTGTCTTCACGGGCGTCACACGGGAACTGTTCTCAGACTTTTAATCCTCCATGTATGTG